AGTAACTGATTTCCTCTGAAAAGTCACTAGTTCCTTGAATACTCCTTTCCCTTGGGGGCCAACAGTTGCCGCAGTGGTTTATGTTAGCATATTCCTAGTTTAGCATGGTTTTATTGATTAGAGTCCAGCTAATCCTTCAGACTGGGGAAGGCAGACACGGATAGGTAGACTACACTCATCTTCAGTGATTGGGCACTCAGATGCTACAGCACCTCAGTGTCACTGTTGCAGTCCTGGGAAGGTGGAGAGGAATTTTTTCCCATCTGTGATGTAGAGTGTGCTGGCAGAGAGCAGTTCTTAAGTTGAAGAGTCATCTGATTCAAATCTACTCCTGTCCCTTGTAACTTAAGCTTTGACCCAGAAATTCTTGGTCACTTCTTCCAACTCTTAAGTGCTTGAACCAGCCATTGATATGCTGAGACCTTTGATTTACCTTACCTGGTGTTCTAACCTTGGGATGTAAGGGAGCTAGTTTTAAACAGAAAGTTCACATCACAAAGTTTTAAAGCCTCTGGTCAATTACAGGTGGATCCCAATACTCTTGTTTCCTGATGACAGAGATGAATTAGAGGGATTCAAATTTCATGTGTTCTTTAAGTATCCAAAAAGAGCCCAAGTGTTAAGGCTTTTTTGATGAGCCAGGTGGTAGTGGTGCACGCCTTTAATCCCAGCACTCAGGAGGCAGAGGCAGGCGGATCTCTGTGAGTTTGAGGCCAGCCTGGTCTACAGAGCGAGATCCAGGACAGGCACCAAAAATTTACACAAAAACCCTGTCTCAAAAAAAAAAAAAAAAAAAAATGAGGAGGGGAAAAAAAAGGACTTTTTTGATATGTAACATCACCCTCAGGATATAAATCTTGGAATGTCATTTTAATGGTGTATATACTAAATGATGGAGAGTATTAACCCCCCCCCCCCTTTTTTTTTCCCTTTTTGGTTTTTCAAGACAGGGTTTCCCTGTAGCTTTGGAGCCTGCCCTGGAACTCAGTCTGTAGACCAGGTTGGCCTTGAACTCAAAGAGATCTGCCTGCCTCTGTCTTCTGAGTGGTGGGATTAAAGGTGTGAACCCCCACTGCCCAACTGATGTTTTTTAAACTAATTTCTTACAGATGAAAGCACTCTATTTTCTCATTAATGCTAGTAGTAAATGCTCTATACAAAACTAAGTATCCCTAGGAAATGTTTAAGTGAGTAAAGGGAGAAAAAAAAGTTTAACTCAATTGTTTAAAGTCATATTTAGGATTGATCTACCCTTTTGGAGAATTGGAAAAAAAATTCCCAATGGATGGAAGACCATTGTGCTATCTTTTTTTTTTTTTTTTTTTTTTTCCCCTTTAAGAATAGGCAGCGGGCCGGGCGGTGGTGGCGCATGCCTTTAATCCCAGCACTCGGGAGGCAGAGCCAGGCGGATCTCTGTGAGTTCGAGGCCAGCCTGGGCTACCAAGTGAGTTCCAGGAAAGGCGCAAAGCTACACAGAGAAACCCTGTCTCGAAAAACCAAAAAAAAAAAAAAAAAAAAAAAAAAGAATAGGCAGCACTACTAGGTGGTTCAGGAGGCAGAGGCAGGTGGATCTCTGGAAGCTCAAGGTCAGGCTGGTCTACAAAGTGAGTTCCAGATCAGCCAGGGCCACACTCTCAAAAACAAACAGAAAGAGTAGGCAACACTTAAATGGCACAGAATCTGAACATTAATTTGTATTCTTTAAAAAACATTTATCATGTATACAGTGTTCTGCCTGCAAGCCAGAAGAGGCCACCAGATTTCATTATGGATGGCTGTGAGCCACCATATGGTTGTTGGGAATTGAAATCAGGACCTCTGGAAGAGCAGCCAAGTGCTCTTAACCTCTGAGCCATCTCTCCAGCCCCATATTTTTTTTTAATATGCAAGGGTGTGATGCCTGCATGTACATCTATGCACCATATGTGTACAGTGTCCACAGAGGCCAGAAGAGAGTATCAGATCTCCTGGGACTGGAATTAGACATGGTTGTGAGCTGCCATGTGGGTGCTGGGAACCTAAATCCTGTCCTCTGGAAGAGCAGCCAGCGGCCAGTTCTCTTAACCACTGAGCCAAGTCTCCAACCCTCCCTCCAGGTTCTAAAGGCCTGCTAGAGTCCCGTGTTTGAGCACCCCTCAGTGTACCAGGGAGTTATGGCATTTAGGTCTTCATTTTTAAAGTACCTGCTTAGTCAGTTGACATGAAATACTTGAGTAGTCTCTCCTCCATATTTGAGATCCCCAAACTTAAAAGCTCTTACTAATTCTTAGTGTTTGGAACAGTATGTGGATTGCTGACTACCACAGAGAATTTTCAGTTTTCTGTGTTACACTGTTAAAGCAGCTTAGTCAGCTTCTGTAGCTCAAGATTTTCCAACACATTTCGATTCTTTGCTATCACTTGGGTTAAACTGGACTCACTTGAGTTTGCCTCTGTTTAAATATAAGGTCTAATTCAGCTTGAGCCATTAAATTCACCTGAATATTAACATACACATATATGCCTATTTTGAGAGAAAATTTAGCAAAGCACAGCTATATCAAGACTAAGTCAGTTAAATGCATCTTGTATTTTAGTGAGGAATTAAGGCTAGAGCTAAATTGGAGAAATGCATAAATTATACTGTTCTGTTGAGAGAAAGAGCAATGTGTACAAAGACTTGAACTTTGGCTGGGATATTGTTCAGTGGTAGAGTGCTAGCCTAGAAAGCTCTGCATTCAATCCATGTTCACCCCAAACAGGAAAGCTGCTATTGTGTTCATATACAGTATACAAGTGCTATTTATAGTTGTGGCTCTGACAACTTTCTTGGTTTGTTTATAGGAATGTATAAAGAAACTGGAGTTTTGGTTATATTTTTATATTTGTAAAGCAAAAGTTTGACTAAAATGGTCATTGCTCTTTTTTAAAATTTTATTTCAATAAAAGCATTTAAAACTGAACAACCAATTGCCTGGGTTAGTCCTGTTTGGTGGAGGGTCCCTAAACTTAGTGTACTAGGAGTGATCCTGCAAAGTTCTGTTTCCTTGTCTGTGGTCAGGTCCACTGGGTAAGGGACCAGTTTGCATAATGGCAAGGACCTGATGGTCTGGACTATGGATGCTGTCCTCACCTTCCTTTTTTTCTTGTCCCTTAGCATGGCCTTAGTAGATTCAGTTACCTGCAGTAGGTGGAGTCACTGGGTTTAGAGCCTAAAGACTGAGATAAGTTGCAGCACAGTTGTGTTAACTACGTATTGTTCATGTCATTAGACTGGTTCTTCATCTACAGGAGTACAAGTGTGAGCTACTTTAATCTGGTTTCTGGTTAAGACTTTAGAGGGGGTGCTGGAGAGGGGCTCAGCAGTTTAAAAGCACTGGCTACTCTTCCAGATGACTCAGGTTTGATTCTCAGCACCCACATGGTGGCTCACAACTACCTGTGATTGCAGTTCCAGAGGATCTAAAACCTGTTGGACACCTGCACACATTACACATAAATTCATGCAGGCACACACACACATAAATATGTATAATAAATAAATCTAAAAAAAGACTTTAGAGGGTTTGTTTAGTCCTTGAAAAAAACAAAACCAATCATGAGTCTGGTACTTACACTGTGGCATGCTCAAAGTCTTAGCCACTTAGGAGAGGTTAAGGCAGGCTGATCGCTTAAGCTTAGGAGTTCAAAACTATCCAGACCCTATTCAAAATAAAGAAACCTTCCAGTAGTGCAGGGAGAGGAGAGGGAGGGCGGAGAAGAAAGGGAGGCAGAGAGATGGGTGCTTGTTGGGTGTGGTGGTTCGTGTCTAACCCTCTAACACTTAGGAGGTTCAGGTGGAACTGCCTCAAGCTGGAGGCCAGACTGGGCTATTGTGAGGACAAGTGTCTCAAACAGGTCCTTGCCAGAAGGATGAGGTGCACAGCACTTTTTTGAGGGGAAAAGGAACAGAACAATGACTATTCTAGTAAATAGAAAAAAAACACACAAACAACCAACCCAAAGACCATTCAAAGTCTTTTGCATTCTTTTAAAATGCAGCTTGGGTTGGATTAATTTCATCTGTTATGCATGTTGGATTTTCAGAAAGCCTATGCTTCTGAGATTAAAAAGGCAGCTCTGGGCTGGAGAGATGGCTCAGAGGTTAAGAGCACTGACTGCTCTTTCAGAGGTCCTGAGTTCAATTCCCAGCAGCCACATAGTAGTTCACAACCACCTAATGAGATCTGGTGACTACTTCTAGTGTGCAGATAGAATACTGTATATATAATAAATAAATAAGTCTTTAAAAAAAGGCAGCTCTGTTACTGGCAATATGAAAGGACAAGTTGGTTATCTAATATTACTGTTGTGGCTTAGATTGGATGTGAATCATATATGAGTATGGCTTAAAAATCATGGTGACTCACATCTGACCTTGTGAAGTAGAACACTCCCCTGGAAATTTACCATCCTTATTTCTTCAGAATAAAGCTTTCCAATATTTGGACAATAGTGTTAAGGCTCAGTTGTAGTTTTGTTTTGTTGTTTTTTCCTCTTTGGGGGCCTGCCACCCCTATCCTAGAACTCACTCTATAGCCCAGGCTGGCCTCGAACTCACAGAGATCCACCTGGCTCTGCCTCCTGAGTGCTGGGATTAAAGGCGTGTGCCACCACTGCCCAGTGCTTTTTACCTTTCTTTATTCTACATATCTTTCTTCTTACTTTGGGTGGCTGGGTGGCTGGGTGGCTGGGTGGCTGGGTGGCTGGGTGGCTGGCCTCTGGCGGGCGTCCTCCTTTTCTCACTTCTCGCTCTCTTTCCTAGATTTCTCCTCCTATTTAGTCTCTCTGTCCAAAGCCCCACCTATTTCTCTCTCCTGCCGAGCTAGTGGCCGTTCAGCTCTTTATTAGACCCGTCAGGTGTTTTAGGCAGGTAAAGTAACACAGCTTCCAGAGTATAACAAATGCAACATGGATGCAACACATCTTTGCATCATTAAAACAAATATTCCACAGCGTAAAGGAATGTAACACATCTTAAATGACTCTTCCATGACACTCAGTGTTTTATTTTTACACGCATGTGCACGTGTGCACATGCTATGGAAGTCAGAGGATAACTTCTGGGAGTTCTGGAAATCAAACTGGGGTTGTCAGGCTTTGAAGCACATGCATTATCTGCTGCTCAGCCATCTTGCGAATGACTGGGGAGAGAACCAAAGAGAGCGTAAGCATATGAAGCCCTTTGACAAGGTGGCTTTTTTTAAGAAAATTTTTATTTATTTACTATGTACACAATGTTCTGCCTGCAGGATAGATCTCATTACAGATGGTTGTGTGCCACCATGTGGTTGCTGGGACTTGAACTCATGACCTCTGGAAGATCAGCCAGTGCTCTTAACATCTGAGCCATTTCTCCAGCCCGACAAGGCATTTTTAAGAATTATTACAAAATGCTGGTTAATTTTCAGATTAAAAAAAAATCTGTAGACTACTATAATTAGAAACAGAGCTGGATAGTGGTGGCACACACCTTTTAATCTCAGTACTGAGTAGGGAGAGGCAGGTGGATCTCTGAGTTCAAGGCCAGCCTGGTCTACAGAGTGAGTTCCAGGACAGCCAAGGCTACACAGAGAAACCTTGTCTTGGAAAAACAAAACAAAATCTATCAAAAAACAAAACAAAATCTGTATTTGGCATAAAAAAATACTTTAAAGGCAATTTAGCACCTTTAGAAAATTTGGAAAATCCACCAGCTACTTACAGAACATACATTCTGGGATAGGCACTATTACATGGCTTAGGAATATAATGACTAAAAAGAATGTACCCCATGTTATTTTATGTACTTCACATATAGAGGTGTATTTATAGTGTATGATTCAGTGTCTTTTGGTGTAGTAATAGGTGTATAACAGCAAATTTGAGAACATCACCACTTCAGGAAACTGGTAACCCAACCTGTCACCTCCAGTTCTCTCATTTACTCTACAGTTATTATTTTACATTCCATGTATTTGCCTTATCAGTGGGATCACATAGTATTTAGATACTCGTGTGTGGCTTGACTCAGGCATATCTTCAACATTCTCTCTTACTGTAGCATATATCCGTACTTCATTTCCAAATACTATATTCCACTGGAGCTTACCTCCTCTGGGTTATTACGAATAATGCTACTCTCAACCTCTGTGTAGGAGTTTTGTGTGGGTATATGTTTTCATTTCTCTTAGATGTTTAGCCAGGTAACTGCCAGGTCAAATGGTCACTCTCTGGTTTAGCTTTGAGGAACAGGCATTTTCCAAGAAGCTCAGCACCATTTTACATTCTACTTGTAACATATTTTTATTTCCTGTTAAATTGGCTCCGTTTTAAAAAATAGTCTACTCGCGGCTATTTGTAAACAGAGACTTAAGACTTGATTAAAGAGGTGCTCAAGGCTTCTATTATTTCCTAAGCATCATGTCCCCCTTTAGGGACACCACGGAAGCCGCTAGTCCACAAGGTGGTGGGACGGGTTTACCTGCTTTGCCCGGGAGGAACAAGGGGCCAGGGGCCCGGGGCCTGGGTACCGCGCCCTGCCGCCTGACCACGCACACAGGCCTGCCGTCATTGCCCACGGGCCGGGCTCACTCCAGAGTCCCGCTGGGGCGAGGCGGCGGCGTCAGTGGGGCCCAGGGTCGCCAAGGATGCTGCAGGGGGCCGGGACGCGGGGCCCTAGGCCGGGTCCTGCGCCCGCGAGGCTGCGGCGCGCCCGCTGGGGGCGGGGGACGAAGGCCGCGCCCCCGCGCCCGTCCCGCCCGCGTCCCGCTAGGGGCGGCGGCCCGCCCCGAGTCCGCCGAGGCTCTTCCGCGCCGGCAGGGGCAGCAGCGGGAGCGGCGCGGGGCGGAGCGGCGCGAGCAGCCAGGAGCGGCCCGGCCCGGCCCGGCGCGGCGGCGGCGGCGGCAGCGGCAGCGGCGGCGGCAGCAGCGACGCCAGAGCCCGTGGGCGCCGTTCGCGAGGCCGCCGCAGGCGCCTGGCCGCAGCGCGGGGAGGCCCGGGCGCCGGAGCCCGCCGCCGCCGCCATGCCGCTGCTCTTCCTCGAGCGCTTCCCGTGGCCCAGCCTCCGCACCTACACGGGCCTCAGCGGCCTGGCCTTGCTCGGCACCATCGTCAGCGCCTACCGCGCCCTCAGCCAGCCGCAGGCCGGGTCGGGCGAGCCGGAGCCGCTAACGGCCCCGCTGCAGCCCGAGGCGCTCGTGCCGTCGCGCCTGGCCGCCGGCGGCCCCCGGGCCCGCGAGGTGGCCCAGTACCTGCTGTCGGACAGCCTGTTCGTGTGGGTGAGCGAGGCCGCGGGCCGGGCGCGGGGGCGGGCGGGCGGGGGCCGCCATGTCACCCTTTCTCCGCGGGGGGCGTGGCCGGGCCCTGACCCGGGCTGAGGAGGCCGGGGGGCTGACACCTCGCGTGGGGCCGGAGGCCGGGCGGCGCTGCGGGCGCTGCGAGCACTGCGAGCACTGCGAGCCGCGGAGGGAAGGAAGGGGTCGGGCCTCCGGGGAGAAGGGCCGAGGGAAGGGCGCTCGGGCCCCCGCGGACTGCAGGGCAGCGGAGTGGCGTCCAGCTGGGCGATGTGGTGGGCGAGTTCTCGATGAAGAGAGTCGGGGGGGGACATTTTAAGCATTTGAACGGGTTGGGACAGTCATTCTCTCAACAAGACAACTTTGAAACGTTGCTATTTGGTAATGGATTACCCTCCCGTGGGCGCTATTTAACGAAGCAAACAAACCAGCTGCGTCCTTTTCCTTTTACCTGATGGTTGGTGGCTGTTCCCTTTGATGGTTGAAGGCAGCAAAACATTCTGATCGGCGTGGCAGCGCCTCCTTTGAACTCGATTACTCGGTTTAGCGATCCATTTTTAAACAAGGTTTCTAGTTCTGCCCGTGCGAGATAAGCAGCGTTCACCAGGCACAAGTACTGTCTTCGTTTATTACATCATTTCAGGCTTGGGCAGAGCGGAGGAGATCTTGCTCCGACCTGCACTTGAATGCGTCTTCTCTAAACCCTCAGAAATGTGAAAAGCTGCTCCAGGATTTAAAATGTGTCACTTGGATTTACTATGGCTTGTGGGATCTTATCTCCTCCCGAGTTCTCGCTTGGCGCCTAGAGTAGGCTGTAAATGACTGAGGGGTTAATCTTCTAAGTTTGTAGAATTATATGCAACTCATTTGTTATAATTATTCCCACTGTGCTTCATCAGGAAGCAGTGGGATTTGTGAACTCCGGGGGCTGTAGATTAAGCCTCCTGGTCCTTTGGTAAATAGTTTAATAGAAGGCGGTGAAGGGTGAAGTTCGCATTTCCCCACTCCTGTGTAAAGATGAGCTGTTCTTTACCAAAGAAGGGAGGAGAGAAAGAATTCAATTCGCATCTTAATTTCCAATCTCGTTGCACTTGAATTAAAGGATAAGAATTTAGAATTATGTGACGACTGCTTTTGACAAATACGAAGACTGTATAGTGTAGTTCTTGATGCATTGTTTCAAGTCTCAGATAGCAGGATTTTCAACAGGAACCACTACTGCATCGCCAGAACAGCCAGTAGTATTGTTTAATGATTTTTTTTTTCGTAAGTTTCTTCTTGCAAAACCCGTGTTCAAATTCCAAGGTTAATACCGCTTCCAAGGTTAATACCGCTTCATAAAACATTACCTAAGGCCTTTTTTTGGTTTTTCTGAGAATTGTTTTTAAGAATTTTTTTTTCTTCCTATGGTCTTGCTGCATGCAGATTGATCATCCCCCCCCACCCCCACCCCAGTCCTTATTTCTCAGTTGAACTCGATGCAGTTTTTCTTCCCTCTCTTCTGGAGTTTTGGCATGCTCATTTTGGTTGTACGGTGGCTGCCCAGACCTTTCTTGTGCGCACCGAATTTCTTTTTCTTTTCTTTTTTTCTTTATCATCTAGCACTTTGTGCTTCAGCACTCCCAAAGCACCTCCCCTGTGGCCTGACGGGTAACATTGAGTGACTGTGTGGTGGGCCTTTATGGATGCTTTTTGAACCCCACTCCTAGGCATTTATTTCCCCCCCCCCAATAAAAACAAAAATGCACCACTGCCCAGGTCAAGCTGGATCGACAAGAATGGTCCTTGGTCGGTTGGGAACCTTACTCGTTATTATTTTGTTTATTAGGCTCTCCAGAACGTGCCTTTGTAGAACACAATTAGTATTGCAGGAGGGTTTGTATTAGCACACCCAGGTCGAAACCCTTCAGAGATGCTCTTCTCACACTGTGGAAGACAGCTGTGAGCAACACTTTCCCCCTACCCTAAAATGACTCATATGTAAATAAGGCAAACTACATACACACAGAAAACCCAGTGGGGTTTGGAGGCAGGAGAAAGCAGTGCTGTGGGGACACTCAGCCCTGGGAGATGGCAAGGGTCTTAAGCAGAGAATTGGGGTGGGGGACAGGTATGTAAGGCTCAGTGTTGTGTGGGGAGGAGGGTCAGGTCTGCAAAGTGCTCCCTGACCTAGGCAAATCTTCTGACTTCCCGGGGGGGGGGGGGGGGGGAGATTGAGAGGGTGGGATGGAACCCGGAGGTAGCCCTGCTGTGAGGAGGGAGGTGAGAAAGCTTTGAAGCTCTTACTGCTCCAGGTGTGGCGCCCAGGCTGACTTGTACCTGGTGACAGCCATCTTCGGTTTGTTACTCCTGTGCCACATGTGGTGAGAAAAGGAATTTCAGAACTGGTCAGGTCAGTTCTAACTTAAAAATTTTAAAGACAGATTCTACAAGTTCATAGTTCAAAGGCCAAAGGAAACAGAAGTGATAGACAGTGAAAGTCAGTCTCCCTCCACCTGTTTCCGGTTGGCAGCTTCTTGTAACTGGTGCTGACTTGTAGTGGGAACCTACGTAACATCCACATTGTCTCAAGTAGTTTACACTGTTCATTTCTGTGCATTACACGTGTATCCATGTGAACATATTCTTTCTGTTTCATACCTGCGCGCGCGTACACACACACACACACACACACACACACACACACACACACACACACACCTGCCTCCATGGTCTGGACGCTCCTTTGAGCTTTTATCTAAAGTTACCTTGACATACCAATTACATATCCCTTCCTGGGCTGATGTTAGGGCCTCATGTGGATCCACTGGATGTGTGTTTGTCTAGTGAAGTAAGTCTTCAGTGATGGACATGAGCGCTCTGTTTTCTGCTGTTATACAGGTGAACCCTTTTAGCTTGTTTGGATTCTGCCTATGAGAAAAAATTAGTAGCTGTATAGATAAAATATTAAAACAGCTCTCCACTGTTGTCTCAGTGAAGGAAGCAGTTGCTCAGATCAGGCTTACTGCAACTAAGCTGCTGGGGTTTTTGTTAGTTTGCTGTTTTTTGAGACAAGGTTTCCAGGTTCCTGTCCTGGAACTCACTCTGTACCAGGCTGGCCTCGAACTCAGAGATCCGACTGCCTCTTCCTCCCGAGTGCTGGCTAAGCTTTGATTTTATGGTTCTCGTTTGTTCCATAGCTCTGGGACTTGAAGTGTCAATTCTGCAAGAGTGTCACAGTACCTGGAGGGATCCGATTTGACATTGACTGTAAAGAAGGAATGCTCCAGTTAGGGACACTTGTTTTGATTTGTTTCTTTTTCTTTTCTGGTTTTGGAGACAGCTCTGGCTGCCTGTTCTCCTTGCCAGTGTTTGTGCCTCAGCCCCCCTTCCCCCCAACTGACAGGACTGTAGACCTGGGCAGCCATGCTTGGCTCAATCGTTACAGTTTCAGCTGAGATGGAGAAATTACTGTATTTATTAGAATGACACAATACTTGTGAAGTTAAGGCTTTTTTCTTTAAAATTTTAAGACTTATTTTATGGGTATGAATGTTTTGCCAGCATATATAAATATGTACCAATGCATGCCTGGTGTGTTTGGAGGGCAGAAGAAGGCATTTAGATTCTCTGGAACAGGGGTTCCCGGTGGCTGTGAACCATTCTATGGGTGCTGGAAACTAAGTGGGTCCTTGCAAGAGCAACAAGTGCTTTTAACCACTGAACCATCTCTCCAGCCCCAAGACTTTGTCCTATAACTAGATGTAGACTAGTCTGTTGTTAATAATCATTAAAGTATTCCAGTAAAGCACTGTTCAGAACCTTTAAACAATGTTAGTTCTTCCAATTCTTTGTTGGTTTCCTTTGCTTGTGAAGGTCATTTCTTTTTAAATACATTTTCTTCCTAGTGGTTATCTCCTTTCTTCTCCCCTTCCTTTTCCCTTCCCCTCCCCTCTCTCTGTTCTTTGAATCAGGGTCTGGTTAAGTAGCCCAGGCTGGCCCTGAACTTGCAGCCCTCCTGCTTCTGCCTCTCATGTAGCTCGATGAGAAGTCTGTCACCAGGAATGGTTCCATAGGCTTTTTCAAGCCCCGTTTTACTTAGACACACTGATTTTCAGATCTCATTTGGATTAAAATAGAAATGTTTATCTATGGGTTGATGGGATTATGAGAGACTTTTGCTGTTGGAGGTGGGAGAGAGTATAAATTGAACTTTTCAAAAAAGACTAAAGAAAATTCGTGTGTGTGGGGGAGGTGAGTGCAGGTGCGGTAGAGACCAGGGGGTGTTGGATCCCCCGAAGCTGAAGTTAACAGTGGTTGTGAACCAGCATGTGGTTGCTGGGAACGGAACTGCCTTGGGGTAGAGGAGGACGTGCTCCCAACTGCTGAGCCATCTTTCCAGCCCTTCAAAGAAACTTTCTATACATACTTTCTTTAAGTCAAAAACTTCAAAAAGCTTAACTGAAAGTGGTAAA